ATTTCCAATAGACAGCATTTTATCAAATATTATGATTGCTAATAATAACTTTACAGCAGTATTTTATATTTGATTTAAATAACACATTTAACAAAGTTAATTCAAAAAACTTATAAGAAAATATCCTTAAAAATATCCCTAGCAATATAGAATAACAGATTAACACTTATGGTCATTGGCCAGAATAATTTTTTTGTACGTCATAATTTATAAATTAATCCAAATCCAGGGCCTGACCTAGTTATTTCAAGTAAATAAATAATAATTACAATTTACAATCTCACGGAGGCTATGGACAATTGGCTATCGTGCCTAATGGTAAATGTGTCCTTAAATCAAATTTAACTCAGCCATTGAACTATTATAGTAACCTAATCAATGACAAAAAGGACACTCGAACCTACATAATATTATTTACATCATCAGAGGAATTTTCTCGGTTTTTTTTTTAATCCGAGCCCTGTGATGAATAATTATTGTCGTGTATTGATGTATTGTATATATAATAAAATGTCTTATCTTATAATTATTGAAAATACAGATATTTGAATACCACAATGTTAAAATAAAAGTTTGTAACAATAATTCAAAGTTTTATTCGTCATTTTTTTAACATTATATATAACTATATAACACAAAATAGTTCTGATGTGTACGTAGATGATAATGTAATACCTACACAATACATTAATTGATTCACACCTATACAATTTATATATTACAAAAACAATTAGAAATTCAGTAAATCTATGAAAAATAATACACATTATATTATTAAAACCTATTCTTATTTATATTTTATACATAATAATAATAATATCGAAATACATATTATTCTGTTCTCCATTTTAGATTTATAATACAAATCGATGAAGAAAAAAACACGTACCTACGCAGATCGGTATGGACATACATTTTAAAAATAATYAAACTTATACATCGTTAAATTAATAATCACATAGTTTTCATTTAAATTTAAAGGTTGGCAAGATATGTTTTCATAGTTTTTGATTTTCTCACTAAGAAATTCCGTTCACTAATTTATCTTTCGGTTGTTCGATCGCTAATACACCGGTATCTTTTTCCTGGAAATTCAAAAAATAAACGATGGAATAATTAATACTGTGTTCACAGACAAGCCAGTTATATGCACACCATTACCTTTTGTCCCAGTGTTGAAATTTTCCATCCTCCTTCACCGTCAAATTGCAATATGTGCGAATGGAATTTCCTGAAACAAAAACGACGAGTAAATCAATGTTTTTGTCGAAACGATGGTCGAATCATGTAATAATAAATAGGTATCATGATGAAGCATAGTAAGTTGCTGCTCACCATAGTGACGGCCTGTGAGTGATGGTGAGTAGTGTGATACCGGAGTCCTTAGCCGACTGATACATGTCACTTTCGACGTCTATGCTCACGGCACTGGTACACTCRTCCAGCAGGGCAAACGATGGTCTGAAAATGTAAGTAACAGTCATAATTTAATATAATATTATAGTTGTGATTTTTTTGTGTCGGATTCGAGAATAAGGGTCGGATCATCGAACGGTTGCATTTCGAGAAATTGCACYGTGATGCTCACTTGTGGTAAAAGATTCTAGCAAACGCCATCCTCTGTTTTTCGCCACCGGACAGGACGTCTTTCCAGTCGGCAGTCGCGTCCCAGCCGCCTTCCCTCTGTACCAGATGGGACAAGTGGACTTGGGCCAAGCACGCCTCCAAGTCTTGTTCGGTAATGCCTTTGATCAGCATGTCCGAAAGAGTGTCCGGGTAAATTATTTGTTCTTTTAGGCTGCCTATTGTCATATACGGCCTGAAAAAATGCACATGTCACGGTTTCATTGATTATGTATTTAAAACGGTTCTGGTGATCGAACGCAATGCACTAAATGAATATCATAATATATTGTTACACGAAATGTCAACTGGAAAGTATAACAATAATTGATCAATTACTGAACAATATACGTTTAATGATTTAAATTATRAAACTGGACAATTTTTGTGAGAAGCTCAATAAGTTAGGTTTAGATTTTTTTCTKTGTACGTTAATTCTATGAGAAATGTCATCGAGACATATTAAATCCAATGTTGTAAGTATATACAATTGAACTACTGTGAATAACATGTGAGCTTTTTTCCAGGTATATACAATACGTTTGGTTGATAAGAGTCATATTGATTTTTTTTTAATTTTAAATATTAAATAAAATCGTAATATAGTAATAAAAATATAAAATATATGATGTACACAATATTCTCATTTTCAAACTAAAGACAGATCGTAATACTAGTTAGAGGGCCAATGGACATAAATCGTAGGTATAAAATACATCAATCGTAACTTGCAGCTGATCGTAGAGAGAAGCGGATTACTTCGCAAGACATAATATATTATAATACCTATTGCGATAAAGTTAAATTTTGAATGTTACAGCGTTACTTAAAATGTGGTTAGTTATATTTATATCTGTACATGATTAAATACAGCCACATTTAAAATTTGAATTATAAATATAATAAATGCACATTACATAATAACATAATAATATGTGGTATATTTAAACAAAAATAATGTAAAAAGGTTATATTCTGCATCATATAAAACTGGTCAACTAGTTAAATTTTAAACTTTGTGTTTAAGAAGCTAAAGTAAGTCTTCTAAAAGTGCTGAAATTYGACAAAAATTATTTAATTTATATTGGTCGCATAAAAGTCACTTATATTTTGTTCTTTAAAACGTTTTAAAATCAGTGGAAGTTTGGTGTAAATCATTCACCCTATGATAGTTTGAATATTATTGATAATTTCATTATATATTTTTGTTAAATTTGTGTTATATTTTTAGCACTTCTTAATAAAATTAAATGCATATTTTCTTATTCCTTATCATGAGTCATTAGACAATTTGTTCAAAACCGTTGCATAATTAAAACAATTTATCAATGCAAGAAGATTAGACGTTATTCGTATCTCTTGAAAAGAAGTATATACTATGTGCCTATAGCCACATATTTTTATAATTATTGAGCCATTTCTCTTAAAACCCGTCAGTACTACCCATTAAGAACTACAATATACATCGCATTGATAAATCATTAAACATACTACTGCCCGGACAGTCAGTCAAAGCAGCAGCAGCACCCAGCAGCAGCACTGTCTACAACAAACGTATTAAAGTTTAGTATCCGTATATCACGTTCTGTACATATTAAAATATTGTTATTATATTTTTTATCAACAGGTAGGTGTATTAATATTATACCTTTGGGGTATGTAAAACATGCAACAGTTAGGCGGCCTGATTAGGGTGCCAGCGTAGACTGGCCACAATCCACTTAGGACCCGGAACAGAGACGATTTACCGCATCCGTTGGGGCCGGTGATTAGCAGATGTTCACCCGGCTTCATTGTCATTGTCAGGCTGGACACGACCACGTCGTTGTTAGGCGTCACTATGGGCACATCGTAAAGCGATATGCTGCCGTCTGGACTATTTTTCACGACGCCTGTAAACAATGCGCCAAAGTCAATATAATGTATTGTTTACATTGAGATATTTTAATATAATGGTGGCTTCACGATGTCTTTTTTTTATAATTTGGTCAGCATAWATAGCRTGGCATTCCCAATGTTTGGACGAGAATGKGGCTAAATCCAATATATAAAAATATGAAAATCTTGCCCCTATACGTTATCCATAATTGATCAACTCCTTGTATTTTTTTGTCATATTAAATAACATTCATTTTTTAATTTTATTTTAAGCTAATTTTACGACTTAATTATTCCTTTCATGTATAATAATAATGTTGATGTTAAAAATATGAAGAAAAAAAACTGAAGCTCGAGAGGATTTTTTTCGGCAATGTTAATATCTATTAAAGGTAGCMCTCTTCCACAACGATATCCATAAACTATAATTGTTTCAATATATATCATATTTTATTATATACTATAACAAAAATTTAAATACTCTTACTTATAATCTACCTAATTCACTATACTCTTTCATTATTTAAAAAATTATTTATTAAATATCGCAGTCTAGAATGTCTAGATGATTACTGAAATTTCAAAATTTTTGTTGCGATTTTTAATGCACCGGAAAACTAGCTGATACAACCGATATTCAATTGATGAATAATAATAATAATAATAATAATATATTATAGTAGCGGCATAAGTTTCTATCAGATAATCGGCGGTAGTCAAACACACCACTTCAGTCTCGTTTGGTGCGAAAACGAGTTAAGACGAATAATACGAAGAAAAAGTAAATACCTACCGTCACATCGTCATTTCCCGTAAAACGCGTGGAACTAACAATTATTTCCTAGGTGGAGTATCGACTACCTTCCCGAAGTGAAAAACAATCGGATCGGTCGCCGCAATATATTATTATTGTTACGTTGCTATTATTATTATTTGTCTGTTCATAATCAAGCGCCGAAATAGCGATTTACCTCTAATCACGAGTTGTCCATCCTTGTTGTAGTGCAATTTCGGTAACGTCTTGAGTACTTTACCGCTGGCCAAACCGTTTCGGCGGTACTTACACTTGCTGACGTCATTGAACACGTCAAGCATGACGCCTACTCTGTACGTGTAGCCGGCGAGCTCAACAATTTCCTATATAAATATAAAGTAAAAAAGAAAATCTATTAGTTGTTACGTCATCATCCTCGAAGCTAGAGACTCGTAATAATAATATAGCAGTCGCTCAGTCKCATATCCGTATCGTCTGATGAAATTAAACATAAAATGAAGGAGTGCAAGGATGGATAATTTTAAGGCCAGTACACATAATTTAAAAATGTCATACTTTTCATGGTTTTTATTTTTTTTTTGACTTGGCTTTGGTCCATTTTATTAGGGGCTAGTAGGAAAAAAACGAATTAAATGTTTATCGGCTAGATAACCTATTTAAATCCGAAGGTCTTAAAATTATAATGATGAATTTGTCGTCCGTAAAAATCATTATTATTTTCCGTGTCATTTATCGAGGGAATCCATAATAAAAACAATAATATGATATTGTGATCAAAAATSACTTTTGTTTATTTATCATCACAGAAAATGATGAGTCAACTGCAGATAACTTTAGTTAATTGTTTCATGACCTAGTATCATTATAATTTATAATACTAACTCGTATTTCACTCATATCCTAACAAAAAAACCTTTTWCTTACATTAATCAAAAGCGTATTTTGTTGTGCATATTATAATTTATTTTTGAGGGTATAATATAATATTATGCACTTGTTATAACTACAAGTTCTGAACCACGCAGAATATCATTAATATAGTTCCATAGGTAGGTATGTACTAWATTTTTAGGCATTCGACGATTGCAGTTTAATATTTTATTTTATAAGAAGAATAAAATATTAATATATACCTTATACGAAGTCATTAATCTCTCGATGGCATCAGCCCCAGAAGCCAACAGGTTTCTTGCCGTGGTCAGGTATTGAGTCCGCTCGCTAACTCCTCCGTCGGGAGAATCGTTGAGTTCTGAAAGTGACAAACAGTATGGTAAATGCGTGTGCCAATGACACAGTAAAATTGATTATAAACACAGACAGTAACTATTTATAATCAATTGTTGTAGGTACTGAATAGTGTTTTAAATGAGAAATCGATATTACGCTAAATACCCGGCAGTGTATTAAAATTAGAGTATGACATAGATAATCCAGTCATTTTTGTATAAGTTCCGACCCAACTTAATCTAYTCKTGCACTTAATGAAATGATTTTGTATTTGTATTTTCATAACATTTCAATATAATATTTTCATGACTGCAGTGCTGACACTGTGTTTTTTCAAAATAAAAATCGATAAACTTTTTATAATATTGATTTTTTAGATATTTTACTTTTATGACCATTTTATTAGGACAAATTAGAAATTTTTAAATACTTTTAATGTATTTCTACTATACAAACATTGGTCATTGACTTATGAAATGGATGTTTTTCGTAAAATTACACATTTTTTTTTACAGTCGTCTGACGCCTCATTAAAATGTTTAAAACTTTAAAATAATTCTGCGTGGGACGTTGTTTAATAGATAATTACACGAAATCGTGTTCTGTCAACAACTTAAAAAAGAGTCATTAAATCATGATATTATTATTGGTAGTTCGTATTTCTGCACACGCTGCTCCGATGAACCCCAGACCTGAATGGACTGTTTGGTAATTGCGATATTTTYGGACTAGTTTGTTGACGTGATTTTTTTTGTGTAGTTAAATAAGTTAGGTAATAGGTATACATAGATACAATATAAGCCGGTTACGACTTTTAATTTTATCTATAATGTGGATATCTTATGACATTGGGGATTTGTGTGCGTAATCGCCACTCCGGTACGTTACCTGCTACTCTTGAGCTAGTTATTATCGGTAACGACACGACGACCATTCCGGTTCCGCTCCATACGTATTTCATGAGGAACTGTTCTAGGACCACGTACCACAATCTTTGTGAGAAAATYGCGTTCATGTGTCGGACCAACGACTGATAGGCGTTTTGCAAATGTATCATCTCCACCTGTAACCAGAAAATAATAACGAAAAGTGTGTTAAAATTGATCGCCAAAACGATCTTATGAAAAAGTTAATTTAAATTATATTACATTCACTAAAACTACAAATATGTGCTGAGAAAAGAAACAACAACAATAATTTATTAAGTTCACATTTTTCTTAGTGGTCACTATCGATATTCATTATACCAGAATATCAGATGTTAAAAATAATAAGAATCTGTGTATAATGTAAACTAAAAAGCATAATTTATTCTGTTACATGCAAGATAATAATAATCTTGAGGAAGTCAAATGAACAGGTTGAGTAATAAATGGATTTCAATTATCAATTCTTTACTGATTATTCTTATTTCTTCTTCAAAATTCAAAATATTTATGTTCATCGCATAGAAAAATATATGATATTGTTATTTTTAAAGCCATAACTTAGGAACTTGAAACGTATATTAAACTTTATTCGTTTTTTTTTTATTTGAAAACCAGGGCGGTTGTTTATTCTCATTTAAAAATAATATGTACCCGGCGACCTTCACCCAAATGACAGTATAATAGGGATATTAAAAACCGTCAAAAACTCGTTTACWCCATAGATATATTTTAATAATTTTAATAATGGCACATTTCGCGTAAACGTTGAAGTTATTATTGTAGGTATACATRTAATAATTTTAATATATTTAGGAACCTTATTATCTTTTAATACTTTTAGTATGAAATCGGCCGGGGTTCGATAACCCGCGTCAGATTACCATACAGCACTGCTGAATAATCGTCATTCGTCCTGTGTCAAGGCTAGCCACTGCAGAACGATATTATAATATAATGTTTTGCGTTTAATTAATAAGATCGATCGTAAGTATGTATACATTTTATACCCGACAATTGTGCTGTAGCTGTGAACACATTCGTTTTATTATTACTATTAAGTATTACAGCACATTGCAGCGTAAATATATATATATATATATATATATGCATAAACATATATTATAAGTAGGTAAGTGCAATCGTGCAAAACAAAAAAACACTATTATTTTCCAATCCAAATACATAGGTATTCGAATAAAAAAAAAACAGCTCTAAAACAATTCGAATATATTATTTGAAATGTCAAGATTTTTTGAAATATGGTTATTCATTATTATAAATATTAGGAGCATTTTTTTTTAAAGATACGAGTACATATTTTTATAGTACTATTACGCTGTTAACAATTACGGAATGAATTATTGTTTTTTACCTTGTGACCCCCGTAAAACGCGATCTCTTCGGCATTCGTGATGACCCTGGAATGAATGTGACGTAGGTAAGCCTTCCTGTCTGCTTCCACAGCGACTAAGGAACCGAATTTTGGTGACAGCATTCTCAGTATCTGCCCGGTGATGCTGATGACGACGATGGCCAATAAGGGTCCTGAAACGACAGGATAAATTAAGACGTTAGATTAAAACATTCTATTTTTACTAAATATGACATATTATATGTATGATACAGTATGATATTTTACAGTATTGACGAAAGATCCAACGGGTAAAATAGGACATTTAACCTTTATAACGGGGTTTGACATGTCGAGCCAAATATGTTTACCACAAAGCTTTACAAACACGATCCCAAAAATGGTAAGCTTTTTTCTAATTCTATATTTTAAGTATACCTATAAAATAATATTTGAATACGTCTAAACAAACACGCATGATCGATTTTTTTAATAGTTACGGTTTCAAGCCAGGTCGCATACAGCATTAAATTTTTATCGTTGGTTTTTTAAATGTGTTTGGCGTTTTATTACTTTTATTAACCAAAGTTCGATACGGTTAAAATAAAATTGGCGTGCAAAATGCAGATACAATATAAAGTTGTCTGATGTTGGAATTTCACAATAATATAATTATCATTTTCAGTGTACACTTTTGTATACGTTGATTATAATAATAATATACGGACGTTCGAAAACATTTAATTACGTACATTGTTTTTTCCGTAATTCGACTACGTGCCGGAAATGCGTAAAGTTTTCATTTTTATTTGGCTGGCTGCAGGTGCAGTAGACGAGCAATGAGCATGCCTCGTAATAATAATACAATGTTATAAACGGTTAGTAAGTACAAGTAAGTAAGCAAAACGCTTTTGTGGAGGTATAGTTAGGTAGTGCCCGACTATTCGAATCATTTATCATAATATATCTATAGCACTAGATGATCCCACGACCTGCGCTGTGTCTCGAAACTTTCTCTTTCATTGGATACACGCATGGACAATTTTCTGTCGTAAGGTTTTAGTATTGAATTCACTTGTATAGTATGTTCTAGAAACTTATAAATTACTATATTTATTTAGTTCATATTTTTTTGTTTTTATCCCTAAATTACGTATATGATATAATATAATACTTATACAAAGTAAAAAAAATACCATGGTTAATAATATACCACGCGGATAGAAACAATGAGAAACGTCGCCAAAATACTTATACAACATTTAACATACATTTTTGATCTCATATTCCAAAACAGAATAATTTCCCGAGAATTTCAGTTTATAAAAATCAAATTAATTGAGTCACTAGAAAATTTTCTGTTTCAGGACACAGAATTAAAATAATATACCAATTATATTTCAAAATAATAAAGAAATAAAAAAAATATGGTAGATATGAACAAAGATAGTTAAACRTATTATTTTTCGAAAATRTTGTTACTTCAAATTATCTAMAGAATAATTTTCAAAAAATGATTATGCATGCTGCAACTGCTTGGTATCATACGACGGTTTTAATATCAGATAATATTATTTTAATTTAACGATATTGAAATAATATTGTGGTTCGTTATGCGCGTGAATGTATAATAATAATATTATTGCTTTCGGATGTGTATAAATACTATAACTATATATACATATTGAGTATCTTTCTTATAAGTCTAAATGAGTTTTGATATATAGGTGATACATGATATTATACTCCTATTCAGTACAACTATATAATTTACTGCGAATAATTATTATAGATAATAAAAAGTTGTGAAATGTATATTAAAACAACTATTTAATAGTAGTGCTTATGGTACAATGTCGTGTAAGTTTAAATAMAATCTTAATGTTTGTAAATTTTCATATTATGTATGTGCAATTTATAGTTCACACTTGAAACAGTTGAAACTATACATTCTCATTCATAAACACCATCTTTACGTACGTCGTATCAATTTATCACTTTTACCAATATAATTCTAACGTTACCTATCGTTATAAGGAAATAATAAAAGACATAAACAAATTTATAGTACATGACAATGCAGTGCATGTACAATGAATTGTAAGTATATAAAAAATATAATACTGAATTTATATTAAGTATTTGATAAGAAGATATTTCTATATAATATTATTAAATAGGAACACTATACATCGACACATCGTTATAATTTAGTTCTACTGCATTTTTAAATAATAATTGACGAATAACGAAATCAGAGAATTAAATTATTTAGACGATAAACCAACGTATTGAAGGCCTAACCGTTGCGATTGTTATGCGTAGCTTTTCCACACAAGCGAAACAATATTTTTTAATTTTAAATTCTGAGCGGAGCGAGGAATGTATTGGTTTTACAATGATGTTTATTTATTTTTTATTCTGTAAATAAACACTTTTTCTCCGTCTAAACTTGCTCAAAAGTATCAAATGTAGCATTTTTTCTGAAAGATAATGTTCTTGAGTTGGTACTTTAGAGAGGTCATTTTTCGATTTTCTAATCGGTACTCGAAATAAAAGCGGTTAAAGGAGAAAAACGTATGATTTCACGATTTTATAATATAAAATAATTACAGACGAGGACGACGTTTTCTACCAGAAATATTACTTTAAAATGAAAAATTACGAGAGATGTTTTTTGTTTCTTACGGTTTAAAATTCGGAAAATTCTAGCAATTTTTGAGCTATTTATAGACATTTTAATTTTAAGGTTTTTTTGTTGTAATTCGGTTAAAAACATTCGTAAAAATTTGAAATTTGGGTTGTTTAATTATATTAGCCTTACCTAGACATAGTAAAACATTTGAGCGACCTTTGGGCCTTTTCTTTTTTCTTTTTCATTTTTATAAATTATAAATTATAATTATAATTATATTAATTGCCTATTTATATAAATCGTTCTTAAGCTGTTCTTATAACGCTTTGCTTATAACCATAGAAACGAATAAAATTAAATAAAAAAGATTCCATCGTCCACTCGAATCGTTTTTTATCGAATGCAATCATTGCATTCAAATCGAATACAGCAAATTTACAATATCCTGTCCGAGGACCGAAGGGACGATCGACAAACATTCATCACCGAAATGCTGACCTACTTTTTATTATTATATCTTAACGCACACGGTGAAAGGTATCAATGCGCAATGTTCATGTACTTTGTATAGTTGTGGTTTACAGATGCACTTCCAGTATAGTTTTTCCAAATACAATGATGGAATATCAATTTATTTAAATAATTAAAATTTTTAACAACCCACCTCCTTCTACAACAACCCTAAGGTCCTACATTTTTTAGAAGAGTTTATTTTTGTTTCTATATACAGATGAGTGTTCCACGGAGATCTGACATTCTTACAAATGAAATAACTTTTGTTCCAATAAATATCTTTGAATATTGTATGTTTCTAGATAAATTTATATTTTTTGAAATTATAATATTTCTGACATAAACTACCACACCGTAAATTACTTAACGAAAATATTTGTATTAAAAAAAATTGCAAAAAATCAGCCATTTGATTTGAATACATTTTTTTACCATATAAATTTTTCTCAAAGTAATTTTTACGAATTGGCTATATTCAATGTTTCGAATATTTTTATCAATTTTTATTTTTTTATTTTTAGTATAAAAAATGTAGCGCAAAGGTCTATGCATTATATTTAAAAACAATTTTTTAAACATTGATTAGAACAAAAGTTATTTTATTTGTCAGAATRTCAGATCTCCGTGGAACACTCTGTATAGGTCCTATATTCGTTCTAAACAGTAAGTTATTTGAATTACTTATATATTGTTTGAATTTAAATATACATATTTTAAGTTGTATACTCGTATGTCATTAGATTGTGATTATAATTTTATATTATCATATTATAATCGACGTGACCATGAACATATTTGACTTCAAAATGTTGAGATCAGATTTTATAAGAGTAATAAGACGTGTCTATTCATTAATCATTATCATTCTACGAGTGCCGATTACAAGTTATCCATATCATTCAATTTACTCGATATCACTAGGGAACTATCCCATTCTTAATAACATAAAAAAGGGACTATCTAGTTTCTTATATATTTTCATATTTATAAGTATCTGTTCATATCACAAGATTTAGCACCAAACATCACACATAATATAATACCCTATCATCATAATACTGTCGTCTTGAATAATGATAAATTTTTACGAGTACAAGTAATTGGTAGGCGACATACCGGACTATTTTTACTACGGACTAYTTAAGTAGTTGTTATTAAAATGRGGTATTGAAAAAGAAAGGTTAAATCTAGAGATAAAAGAGAGTAYCTTAAGACCAATTTTTYGTAAAAACTCAGAGCAGTTGATAACACCATTCAAGATTTTATAAATAAAAGTTACATCAAACATAATTYGTCTTGATTTCAGTGACTTGAAGCCCGCAAAATTCGCAATATCATTCATGCTATGAAAAGTATATTTAGTTTTAAAATCAGAAAATGGCAGAAAATGTTTCTGAATTTTTTTGATTTAATAATTAAAATTATTGGATTCCACAAAACTGTGCCGTATTCGAGTAATGATCTTACTAGTGAACAATACAGTACCTTCATACATGAAACATCATTAAACTTAGAGCAGATGCGTTTAATGAACTCTAAAACTCGTAGACTTTTACCATAAATTGAATTAACATATAAGCATTAAAGGATAATACCTAGATCTCGAATTTGACTGACAGATTCTAAAGAAATGCCTTCAATAATATACTTACAGTTAATACGAATCTAGAACGATTAAAGGATRTGCAAACACATTTAGAGGTATTTAAAGACATGCCATTTAATGAACACCAGGTATAAAATTGATCCAAATAATGTTGCAGAGAAGTATAGTATCATTGAATTGGCAAGAATATTTTCATATCATCGGAAAATAGTAAAAGTTTACAAATTTCAAAACAATATTTATAAATAAGATGAAAAGCAGTGGGGATAGAAGACCACCTTTTGGAACATCTGACAGGACTTTGGTTGTTTTAGAAGCGGTTTTTGATCTAAACTAGATTTTAACAGTATGAACACTCATTATTTGGAAAAGTATTTTTAACTTTTTTAGAAAATGTAAGTTGCACACAATCCTAATATATATTTTATTATTTCCACCCT